GCTGGGAGTGTCGGATGAACGGATGATCCGACACTCTCGGCGCAGAGATGGGGGGCCGGCTGGCCGCTGGGTACCGATCCGGCGCTGGGCCCCCTAGAGCCCCAAGGCCCTGGTGCGTCCGCACCGCCTGCACCGGCGGTAGTTCCGCCACTGGTAAGCACAGCAAAAGTAGATAATTATGTGCATTTATACAAAGGGCTTGAAACATAGAGAAAATAAAAGTAGGGGTGTTACCCATTTCAATTAATCAGACTGCAGCTGTCATTCTTGGAACACAAACAAAATATGCCAACATGTGATTGGTTACCATGCTACACTGATTTCCAGATGAAGTTATTATATTACGCTATCACCATATTATACTTGGCTGTGCAATTTTCTTTATATTTCCTCACTTTACAATGTTAGCTAAACTACTCTGTTTTTCATACAATTCCACACATATTACACCAGGGCTGTATGACTGGTACAATTCAAGATGCATACAATTATTTAGATATTTAATGTGCTTGAAAATGTATATTATAGATCCATTGAAACATTTCCACCAGGCACAGATGTACAGATTTCAGATTTTACTCATCTAAAAATACTTAGCACTACAAAGGAAGAACATGCAACCTTCTAACTCTTCCTGTGTACTGCTGAGAATTGAATTCATGTTGTATATGCAAAATAATGCCAAACTCTTATGACTCCATGAATTATTTTAGAACTAAAAAAAACTATATACGGTATATATTCTTTTTATGTACAGTTTATTTCAGTTGCAATCTATTTACAGAGATTTATTTTATTCCAGATGTATAATTGTATAAATGATATAGCATTTTCAACATATTTTAAGTATTAACTGCAGAGATCTAATGCTTGTTCACAGACCAGTTGACTGTGTAATTTAGATTGCTGGGGACTTCTTGTTATATATTGGAGCAGATACAACTTCCTACCAGAATGTACAGCCATTTAAGGGCAAAATCATATAACACAGGGTGGATTTTAAAGAATGTAATTGAAGACTACATTTTGACAATATCATTGACAGCCAGTCCAAGCTAGGAGCCTACAGACAGTTTAAAAGTGTAAAAGTAACATGTGCTTCCATCCACAACAATAGAAAGGGCTCAAATTTGTACTTAGGGAGCTGGGACCAATTATAATTTTTTTATTGCATTAGCTACCTTGCTTCTAGGATTTCTACCACCACTTTAACTTTCTTAAACACAAAGTTACATTCTAAGTATTATGAGCTGCGCAGATTATCTTATCATAATAGCAATGATACTGTGTATTTAACTGCAATAAAGGGGTAAGAAATACTTGCTTAATGTAGCACAAAATGACTGATCCTTTCCGCTAGTTCCTTATGATATTAGTGATTCCCGTGGCTATTCATTAACTTGGAGCATGCAACATTATTTAAAAAGACAAAAGTCAATAAAGTTAAACCTCTCTTATAAATCCTAACAAAGTCTACTCATGAACCCTAGTGGGGAAGTTGTAACCTTACATTTACAATGGAGAAGCCACTTCCTTTCTGATT